AGCCTCGGGCACATGCCCTTGCCGGCCCCGGCCCCGGGGGCGCCGTGCATGCCCGCACCGGCCCCGGCCGCGCGGAACCTGGGCAGCCCCTGCCGGGGATTGCAGCACATGCTGCTGCCAGCCTCGGGCGTGCGGCGCATGCTTGGCCCCGCCCCAGTCACGTGGCCGGTGAGCGGCCCCGCCCCCTTACGCACAGCGCGTGAGCGGCCCCGCCCCCAAGCGCCCGGCAGCCCCAAAAGGTTGGGGACCACTGATCTAGACCATCCCTTCTAGATGTCTAACTAAACTGCTCTTAAATATCTCCACAGATGGAGATTCCACAACCTCCCTAGGCAACTTATTCCAGTGTTTAACTACCCTGACAGTTCGGAAGTTTTTCCTAATGCCCGACCTAAATGTCCCTTACTGCAGTTTAAGCCCATTGCTTCTTGTCCTATCCTCAGAGGCCAAAGAGAACAATTTTTCTCCCTCCTCGTGACACCCTTTCAGATACTTGAAAACTGCTATCAAGTCCCCTTTCAGTCTTCTCCTTTCCAAACTAAACAAGACCAATTCTATCAGTCTTCTTTCACGGGTCATTTTCTTTAAACCTTTAATCATTCTTGTCGCTCTTCTCTGGACCCTCTCCAATTTCTTTAAATCTTTCTTGAAATGTGGTGCCTAGAACTGGACACAATACTCCAATTGAGGTCTAATCAGCGCACAGTAGAGCAGAAGAATGACTTCTGGTATCTTGCTCACAACATTCCTGTTAATGCAGTGATAAAATAGTTACTCAAGACCACTTCCTTGGACCCACATGACTTAAATAACTATCGCCCAATTGCTATATTCCCTTCCTGGGCAAGGTACTCGAAAGGGCGTGGCGTTGCAACTCCAAACTTTCTTGGATGAAACAGACTACTTAGATCCATTTCAGTCTGGTGTTAGGCCTGGTTTTGGAACTGAAACAGCCTTGGTCGCCCTGGTAGACAATTTACGCCAGGAGATAGACAAGGGAAGTGCATCCCTGTTGATTCTCCTAGACCTCTCAGCGGCTTTTGATACCATTGACCATGATATCTTTCTGGGATGCCGGGTGGAGTTGGGTATTGGAGGCACTGTTTTGCAATGGTTCTGGTCCTACCTGTCAGGAAGCTTTCAGAAGGTGGAGCTAGGGGCTGCTATTCGACCCCATGGCGATTGTGCTATGAGGTCCCGCAAGGTTCCATCTTGTCCCCTATGCTGTTTAATATCTACATGAAGCCGCTGGGAGAGGAAAGGAGTTTTGGAGGATGGTGCCACCAATATGCAGATGACAACCAACTCTATTTCCCTGTGACATTAGAACCAGGTGTGGCAATGTCTGATCTAAATCGGCGTCTGGAGGCAGTGATTGTTTGGATGAAGTCAAATAAGCTGAAGTTGAACCCAGATAAGACTGAGGTCCTGTGGCTCAGGAGGCCATCTGTGGTGAATGTGGCATGGCACCTGTTCTAGACAGGGTTACTCTCCCCCTGAAAGAACAGGTACACAGCTTGGGAGTCCTCCTGGACCCTTTTTTAACATTTGAAAATCAGATTTCTTCGGTAGCCAGGAGTGCCTTTGGACAACTTCGTTTAATCTGCCAGCTGCGACCCTTACTGAACAAACATGACTTGGCCACAGTGATCCATGCTCTTGTTACATCCCGACTGGATTACTGTAATGCACTTTATGTAGGGCTGCCTCTAAAGAGCCTTCGGAAACTTCAACTGGTCCAGAATGCGGCTGCTTGAGTTTTAACCAACACTAGTTATACGGAGCACATTATGCCAATGCTTCGGCAGCTGCACTGGCTTCCGGTATGTTTCCAGGCACAATTTAAGGTTTTAGTTATGACCTATAAAGCCTTAAATGAGTTGGGTCCAGGGTATCTGAAGGACCGTCTTCTCCCATACGAACCTGCCCGGGGATTGAGGTCAGCTGGGGAGGCTTTGCTTCGTGTTCCTCCACTTGCGGAGATAAGATTAACATCTAGGCGGAACAGGGCATTCTCAGCTTTTGCTCCCAAGCTGTGGAATTCTCTTCCTCGGGATATTCACATGGCGTCAATGCTAGCGTTGTTCTGGCGTCAGGCTAAAGCCACCCTTTTTACTCGTGCTTTTATTAATGTTTGAGTCTGTATGTGTGTGTTCCTCCTCTCTATGGCTATGTCTAGACTGCAAACCTCTTTCGAAAGAGGCTTTTTCGAAAGATACTTTCGAAAAAGCCTCTTTCGAAAGAGAGCATCTAGACTGCACGCGGAAGAACGCCTTTTTTCGAAAGAGCACTTTCGAAAAAAGGCGTTCTTCCTCATGGAATTAGGTTTACCGCCGTCGAAAGAAAAGCCGCGTTCTTTCGATTTAATTTCGAAAGAACGCGGCTGCAGTCTAGACACAGGTGAAGTTTTTTCGAAAAAAGGCTACTTTTTTCGAAAAAACCCACCCCTGAGTCTGGACACAGCCTATATGTTTTTAGTTGGTTACGTCCTTCTGAGAACTCTTATTTTAAATTTTTAAAATATTTTTTTTGTTCGTTCTTGTAAGCCGCCTTGAATATTTTAAATAGAGAGGTGGGGTAAAAATATTTAAATTAAATAAATAAATTAATTAAATAAATGCATCCCAGAATCATGTTTGCCTTTTTTTTTTTTGGCAACAGTATCACACTGTTGACTCATATTTAGCTTGTAGTCTACTATGACCCCTAAATCCTTTTCTGCAGTACTCCTTCCTAGGCAATCACTTCCCATTTTGTATGTGTGAAACTGATTGTTCCTTCCTAAGTGGAGTACTTTGCATTTGTCCTTATTAAACTTTATCCTATTTACCTCAGACCATTTCTCCAGTTTGTCCAAATCATTTTGAACTATGACCGTATCCTCCATTTGCAACCCCTCCCAGCTTGGTATCATCTGCAAAATAAGCAGTGTACTCTCTATGCCAATATCTAAATAGTTGATGAAGATATTGAACACAACTGGTCCCAAAACAGACCCTGAGGAACTCCACTTGTTATGCCCTTCCAGTATGATTGTGAATTGCTAGTAACTACTCTCTAAGAACGGATATACAGACAGTTATGCATCCACCTTACAGTAGCCCCATCTAGGTTGCATTTGCTTAGTTTATTGATAATGTGAAACTGTGTGAAATATCTTACTCAAGTATAGGTATAGCACATCCACCGTCGGGAATTCAGGCTTGTAAGCTAATCGGAAGCTAAAAACTAAAACCCAAAAAAGGTAAGTATATTTAATTTACCACCTCATTAGGCACTCGTTATTTTATCAAAAAGGATATCAGATTGGTTTGACATGATTTGTTCTTTATAAATCCATGCTGGCTGTTATCCGTCACCTTATTATCTTCCAGGTGTTTGCAGATGAATTCCTTAATTACTTAATTCATTATCTTCTCTGGCATAGAAGTTAAACTGAAACGTCTCTGGTTTCCTTCAAACACATCCTGGTTCCGTTCCCATTTAAGGCATAAAATACCTAAATAAGGGTAAACCAAGTATATAAGGCAGCGCCTTCACCAGTAAAAAAATACCCTGGGGGTAAATTTAGGTAGTATTTTACCAAATTATGTAAAAAGTTTCAATCATAACATTCATACTGATACTAAACAAACAAACAAAGCAAGCTACAGAATGCAAGCTTTTTGTTTCCTACAATGAACACTGAGGACTATATTGCAATGTAAGCTGTAGGGTAAACTAAGGCAGCCCTAAATGTGCTAGCAGGCCTCTAAACAGCATAACTCCATTCTAGGATTAAGGCCTTTTAAGGCATAAAATACCTAAATAAGGGTAAACCAAGTATATAAGGCAGCGCCTTCACCAGTAAAAAAATACCCTGGGGGTAAATTTAGGTAGTATTTTACCAAATTATGTAAAAAGTTTCAATCATAACATTCATACTGATACTAATATTGTGCCGTCGCTTCCAGCGTAAAATAAACACCTGCATCCAAAGTGTCCTGGCTTATTTCCAACAAAGCCCAGGGTTAATGGGACTCAATATAAGCTGGCCTATAATACAGAACTCTGGACCTTGACTGATTACATTGTATTTAACCCTGTATTAAGACTTTTCTAATAATGTACTATAACCTTGTGCACAGATCCAAGTCAAAGTAACCACATCCCAGAGTCTCCCTCCATCCAAAATGTGGCTGCTGTAGCCCTACGATCATGGTGCACTGTCTTTACTGTCTGCCTTACACATTACCAGGAAACAGTTCTCTTTGCAAAAGGCTTGATTGGTTTGCTTAGCACTGCAAAACCAGGAGACTCTCTGGTAGTGTGCTTGCAGAGCAGTGATTTCAAATAGAGAGGATTGCAGATTGTTGGGATAGAGGACCAAAGACGTTTTCCATGGAACTGTGGGATCCTACTGGCTGATACCTGGGACCCAAAACAAGCAGGGATGCATCGACAATGCAAAACAAAAGGGCTCAGACTCGGGTCCTGACTTAACTCGATTTTGGGTCCTCCAGCCCAGCAGAGTCCTGGGACTCTGGGCCCAAGTCCTAGATTAGCACAATTGCAGTGTAGACCCAAGGGGAATTAGGCATCAGCCCAAGATCAAGCATGGGCTTATGGTACACCATACCCTAACAGTCTTCTTTCACTCGTTGGATATCAGATCGTCACACTGATCTCTGGCCTGAAAGGAAAATCAGCCCTTTTGTTGTCCTTAACTCTTCTAGTGCTTTGCAGTCCAGTGACAATTGATTAAAACAATTACCAAGACGCCTTTTGTCTTGATGCTGTATTCTTCTGATAATACTTTGTGTACCTAGGATTGGTGGCATTACCTACAGGTTCAGACCACTGATCAACCTAGTTTAGTATCTGGCCTCATGGAATGGTCAATGGCTAACCATTTCAAGGAAAGTGAAAAACGCATACAGTAACCAAACAATGCTGTAATGTTTAAGTATGACACATACCGTATCATCTTTCAAATATTTCTCTTTAAACGAGTAACTTACAGGATCAGAAGGCCCACAGAAGTCTCTGAATAATTTTTGAGGATCAAACTGCCTAATCTCTAGTGCTATACAAGGACCCGAGCACAGTTCTGTAACCATCTCCTGGAAGAGGAAAAGAGGAAAACAAATTTAAGTTTCAAGTGTGTTATTAAAGTTGTACTTCACATCAGAGTTGGATCCAAACATAAACAAGAAGAAATTATTAGGAACTGTTGGGGGAAACAGCAAAAAGAAATGTTAGAGGGCACAATCAGTATGCTTATTGAGAGAATTTACCCAAAGTTTGTTATTCAGGTTCAGAATATGGGGGATAAGATGGATCTCCAGCTTCTTCAGGATTCTCAACTCCTAGCAGTTGCCAAAGTACTTATATCCTCTGCATTTGAGGTTGAAACCTCTTCATTACTCAGATGGATCTTGCTACAGAGAACTATACGTTTGTCACCTTAAGCTCCTGTAACATGCTGTACTTGGGTTTAAACCTGAAGAGCATTTAGGTTTATTCTCTAAATAACCCCCCTCTTCTTTCTTGTTCTGCTCACTCAAATTTCCCTCTCTCTCTTGGTCAACTCTCAAATTGAATTATTTAACAATGCAAAATATTTGGGGGTACAGTTTAGGGATGTGAAATATTAACTGGTTTATTGGTAAGCATCACCTTTAACAGGTGATGCTTACTGCTTCTGCTTAACTGGTGAGGACTGGTGCAGCTCCCCACACACCATGGACCCCCCCCCCTTTTAATCGGTTAACTGGTTAAATAATTAAACAGGATTTTACATCCCTATTACAGTTGGTATGAAAGAGGTACAGGAGATGGAATAACAATTGCCATTTGATTCACCACAGGAATGTCTATGGAGATCAAAACGATGGCAAGGCATATGATACCTGCATCAGACGATACAGATATGCTCACATTTAAGCAATGCTACACTCAGTTCTCCTAACTTGTCAGATCCTCCCTTTGACCTAGTGCCTAAGGCTCAAAGCTGGAAGATGAAACCTGGTACACATTCTCCATTTTTCCAATGACCTCCTCTGTCACTACAATCCTGATCTTCCAAAGGGATCAACCTGAGGTAACCTTACATACTTGTTGCACTCCCAGAGGCATAGAATACTGGTACAGTACCTTAATCCATCATTAAAATAGGGATAATTCTCATACTTCACAGGGACATTGTAAGTCTCTTATCATTATTTGCACAGTGCACTGAAATCCTCAAATGGAGTCAGTTGCAGAAATACAAAGTCACTTAAATATATTCCCATTGGTCCACCAGTACTCGGAGAGCCTTCAGTGCCACTGCTCAAAGGCATTCGAATGTATATTGAGGTCTACTGGACCTCACCAATTGCACAGCAATTCACAAATCAACTTATATATGACATTAACCACCAAACAATCATAAAATACTCTGATGCCCCAGCACTCATTAAGGACAAAAGTATAAATACATACAGTTTCTAGGCCAACTCAGTTCTGAAGTAGGACATTCAACAATAACATAAAACTGGACATCACATCATTTCTACCAAAGTGAAATAGCTCAATTCTGTTTTTTTCAAACTGCTCTATTACATAAATATCTTGGTCCAATGGTCCTACATTTCTCCACAAAAAATTATCCTGTCCCAGTGTATACATGTGGAATTTTGGGTGAATTGGTTCATTCTGGACCAACTCAGGGAGTGTTCAAATTCAGACTCCCAATACAATGTTAGTCACAATCCTTAAGAGAGATGACCTGCTGTCCTTAATTTGTCTTTTTTTTTTAGCAGATTATTTTCTAGTTGATACTTACAGGGTATTCAGCAACAACACCTCTGTAAATCTCATAGAACTCTTCCACATTCGCACGTTCCATGTTGAACTATGCAAAAGAAAAGGGTGAAAATGTTTGTCAAACAGCCTCAAGAGACTAAAACAATCCAGCAGACATTTAGCATACTCTTTATTTACCCTATACAGTATGTTTTTTCCCCTGTAATAGGAAGGAAGGAAGGCTTTGAAGACCTCTTTTGCTGCACAGTGCAGATAGATTTCGGATTATTCTTCAATAGCTCAACAAGTCCATACAGCTAAACAGTAAATGCATTTTCTCCATAAAGTTGGCAAATGCAGGATGTGTTCAATAAGACCATTTTTACACAGTTGCTTTTCTGCGCAAAACTGTACTCTAAGTACCAAATTCAATGAGAAAGCCCAACAGTTCAGCTTGCACTAATTGATTCTGTTAGTGGAGTTAACAGGCCTTCGCAGAGAATAACAAAGGCCCGGGCCACTTTGAGTTTAGAGGCCCCAGTCCAGCCTTAGGCCTCCAACATATCTAACTTCTCATCCACAGGGCCATACAAAACCAAAAGAATATATGAAAATGAACACGAGACATTTATTTATTAACAATTAAGTCATTATACCAATAGCATGTATATTAAAAATGTAACTAATTGTGAGTTTCCACTGCAAGCAAAACTCTTCATTTTAGGAATGCTTTTCTGGCTTTGCTGTGTGTAACTCATTTATAATTGAACAAAAATTTAATTTATATGCAACATCACTGTTAATGTTAGGCATTGCGAGCCCTTTCAAATGCTCTTGTCCCATTGCAGAACGATGATAGTTCTTTACTTGTTTTAACAGTCTGAATGTGCATTCACCTGAAGCCACCCATGCAGGGAGACTGACAAAAATACATAATGCAATTGTGCAATCGATAGGCCGAGATCAAATATTTCTTGAAGCAGTTCTTTTGTCTTGTAGTCTGATTTAACATTGGTGGAATGTATACGTTTCAGGAAGATGATGCCGTCACAGAGAGCTCTTGAAATTTCGTTGTACCTTTGTTGAAACTGTTCAGCCTCTGAATATAGATCTTCATCACTTAGTTCACTGAACTCCCAAAAGAATCCAAAAAGGGTACAAATTTGTCATAGTGACTCAAATCGACGTGTAAGACCCGATTTGATGGAGTCAATAACAACAAACAACAACAACAAAAGACTTGATAGTGCCTTACTGCATCAGATTGAGATGTTAGGCTGCGATTGATGGAAAACCCAGTTGAAATATCAATACCCTATGCTACTGATTTGGACTCAGAAAGGATTGCATCTCATTGATCATCAGTCTTTTGACTATCTTTAAGTCGTTGTTCAATGTTATCCCTCTCAACATCTAAAGTAGCATTATGTGCTTCAATTACAAGATTAGTTTCATGGATTATTTTTAGCAGTTTCATCCACATGGATGACATTAAAATGCATTCAAATTTGGATGTAAAATTCTGAATTGACTTGAGTTCAGTGTGAGCCTGTGCTGTGAGAGTAAGAGATTCAAGCTCACTTAAAGCATCTCAGAGTCCAAATACTGTGCAACTGGTTTAATGCCATCAATTCATGCTGACCAGCTCATTGTTGACATGCCGTAAAGGGAAACAGGCAGATACTGCTTCAGAATTTCCCACTTTTGAGGACTGCTACTGAAGAGGTTGTGCAGTTGCTGGATTGTTCCAAAGTATGTGATTGCTTACTTGCGTGATTCAGTGCAATCAATGCCGATAAGATTTAATGTATGGTTGCTACAACTGGAGAAAATACAGTTTGGATTTTGCTCAAGGACTGCTTGTACTCCACTGTACATATTGGATCCACTGTCATAGGCTTGGCTAATGCAGACTTGAAAATTTAATTTGAAATATTCCAGAATTTCTAATACATGAGTGGCAATTTCCTTTATCATCACAAAAAAGCCTTTAAAGGTGAATCTAAAACTAGACAAAGAGGTAGCTTACAGCTAAGCCTGATATGGTTATTGTATACGAGGACGGACACACACACACACACACACACACAGAAATACAAAAATCTCCTATGCAGAAATAAACATCTAATTTAAAGGTTAAACTCACCCTCAGACCAAGCAAAATCACTTTTCAAAAATAGAATTACAACTTTCAAAACCTCTAAACTATGCAAAGACTGTAAATAGTGTTTCATAACATAGGATTACTAGTCACAGAAGCTACACCAATTATGCATATGAAAACTCGGATTTGACCGAAAAATTGGCGATGGCCTGAGGTCCCACAATGTTATAAATCAATTTTCTACAGGTATATTTAGCTTCTTTTGTTGTCTCTGTTATAACTGCAAGATGTATAATAAATGGAAATGACTTGGTAGAAAAATGTCAAAATTTGAGGCCTCTTTGTTTCCTGAGGCCCAGACCAAATGGCCCTCCTGGCCACCCTTCTGATAGGGTTTGGGAGTTAATGAACAAGTAAGCAGGCCCTGGAAATTAAACTACCATCTGAATTCTAGAGTCTACTCTTCAAGTTCGGTATTCAGGTATATTAATGGAAGTTATGTGGGAGAAACATTTGCTTTGCTTCTTTCCCAGCTGAAACAGCAGCTCACAAATATTAAGAGGCAGTTTTGAAAATCCAACCCTTATATTCATACTACATGTTTTATTTAAAAAATTCTAAGCAGAATATTATTATTAAAACCTAGCACTTTTCATTAGCAGCTATCGAAGTGCTTTTTAAAAGAGGTTAATATCATTATTGCTTTTTTACAGATGGAGCACTGAGCCATAAAGTGACTTGAACGTGTCCAAGTTTGTCCATCAAGGATACACCAGCCATAAATTTAAAAGAAAAAATATCTTAATGTGGATAACACTAATATCCTATCTACAAAAACACCTGCCCCCCCCCAACTAAACACAAAATGAAAACAACCTTTCCCAAAAACCTTGCAACAACCATATCACTCAAGCAAATAAAAAACCCAATATCCCCAAGCAGTTCTCATCCTAAAACAGGTAGAGGGACCAGAGACTCCATGAAGTTCACTAGGTTCTCTGTTATTTCTGTTGATTTTATGTGGAAGGGACTCACATTTTATGGTAAAAAGCTGCAGTATAAAACCTTAAGACAGAAACTCATTTGCATCACAAGATGTACAGGTTGAATCTCTCTGGTCCAGCAACATTCATGGTCCGGCAGGACCACGGATGTTGCTGGGCCAGAGAGTGACAGTGGCTAGGAGTGGGGGATGTCTGGGAGTCCGATGGCTGGGTCCATCAGAGGAGCTGGGCCAGCAGTGAGGAGAGCCTGGTGATTGAGACTGGCAGCAGCACTGGACCAGCAGCCCAGGAGGAAGGAGCCCAGCGATCAGGGCTGGAAGTGGAGCCAGGCCAGCAGTCAGGACCAGCATTAGAGCTTGATGGCCGGAGAGGAGCCCAGCCTGAAGGCTGGCAGCCCCCAGGAGAGCCGGGAGGCTAGCAGCAGAGGGACTGGAATTGACTTCCCTTGCTCTGGCAAACTGTCTTGCTCAGGATCGGTCAGGTCCCGAGGATGCCAGACCAGGGAGGTCCAACCTGTCAGGCTTCCAACATTCTTCCCAATACAGTCTTTAATTTGACAGTCCATGTTCCTAAATTGAGATTTCTTTTTTAATTAAATAAAATGGTAATCATGCGACACTCTTCTAGATCCAGTTAAAATAGGAAATAGAAACATATGAAATGTACGAGGATACTTACCAACTGCAAAGCCGAGATTTCAAATCCCGCATCAAAGATGGTTTTTATGATCTTTCCAGTTAGCCCTATGGAGATACAAACACACACATTCAATCAAATAATGAAATTCACAGTATATAGGTCTAGCTGTTACTGCACATACTATCTGTTTTCTTGTCAAAATATGGCATATTTTATCTCTGTAAAACTGAAGTATGCAGCAGAGCAGAATTCAGACTTCCTAACCTTTGTGAAACCATCCTTTGGAGGGGATTCTCCAAGTGACTATTCATTCAGGCTATGTCTAGACTACAAAGAAAAGTTGGAAAAAGATATACAAATTGCAAATCACAATTAGCGTATCTTTTTCCGCTTTTCTTCCGAAAGGGGCTTTTCTGAAATTTGGCGCATCTACATGGTGCCAAATTTTGGAAAAACCTGCTCTTTCGTGCCATCCCTTCTTACTTGTACAACAAGGTTTACAGGGATGGTGAAAGAATGCATCCGCTTTTCCGATTTTTTTTCCTCAGAAAAGCAGCTGTGTTCCTTGGATGCGGCATTGCTCTTCCGGGATATCTCTGGTATCCCGGAAAAGTGCTGCAGTCTAGACGTAGCCTCAGTCGTGGACATAACCTTTTGCAGAAATGTGTGAATAATGTGATTGGTGAACTCCTGGCCAAACTGAAGTTAATGGTAAAACTCCTGTTGGCTTCACCCTTTATTTGCACAGAAAACTTCATTTATATAAACATCCATTTACAATATTATTCAGATTGCAAGCTCTTCAGGATAGGGACTATCTACTAGGGTGTGTGAGTACAGCACGATGGGGCCCTTTCTTTGTTAGTCTGTAGACTCTACTGTAATAAACATGATTAGTTAATGTGTATCCTGATGCACCTTTTAGGGATGTAAAATTCCAATCACTTAGTTAACCAGTTAAATGTGAGGTTAACCGAATGTTTAACTGGTTAACAGACAAAAATGGGATCTCAGGTTCCCACTCTCAGCTCTTCACAGGACTGTCTGCTGGGGCTGGCTCCCAGCTTGGCTGGAGCAGCCCTCTGGCCTTGGCAAGCTGCAGGTGGGGGCTGCTCATAGGGGACCGGGTAATTGGTTACCTGGTCACATCCCAAGTTCACAAGGGTACTATCACAGAATTACAACAGAGAAAAATAAAGTCCAACACATTTTGGAGCTCATTCTTGCATACACTGACTACTGAGGATACCTACCATGAATAAACCCACTGAAAAGGGATGAGATGGGACTTGTGCTCACAAGATCATACCCTCTGATAAATTACGTCAGTCTAACACGCAATGCAACAGAAGGCAGAACTCAGTAGAAACACTGTGCCCACAGAATGAACTCAAATGGTGCTCTAGAACCTCCTATATCTCTGGAGCACTTCACATAGTTCTAAGAGTTTCCAGACACTGCAGCAGCCCCTGCCTGCAGGGCAATCGGGCCTGCCATGGACAATTTGGGGGAAGTTGTTCAATTTATGTTTTCCCCCCAAATTTCCCATTTTCAAAATGCAACCTATTTTTATTTTTGAAGGAAAACTGGAGGTTTTGGCTTCTGGCTACGGGGCAGCGGATTGGAATTTCGGCATTTAGAAATTAGTGGAGACCAAGTTTTGGGCATTACGGTATATTTTAATACGGTGCCTCACAAACATTAATAAATGTATCACAACAACACTCCTGTGAGATTTGTAAAATTGGGATAACATCTACCCTATGGAAACTGAGATACACAAGGATGAATGTGCCCAATGTCACACAGGAAACTGGTGGCAGAATCAGAAAAAGAACCTAGATTTCTGATTATGGCCCCTCCTTTACCATAGTATCTAAGCACCTCCTAATTTTTAATGTATTTAATCTCACAACACCACTGTAAGTAGGTGCATTTTATCCACATTATACAGATGGAGAACTGAGGCACAGACATGTAATTGGTATGTCTACACTGCAATGTAAACCCAGGGCTCAGATTCAGGCTTGATCTCAAACTCCATATCCATCCACAAACGCATCTCTCAGACTTGGTCTCAGACCTAGGATCCCAGAATACCGTGGAGGTGGAAGCTACAAGACCAAGTCAAGACCAGACCCAGGGAATGAACCTTACTACTTTGCAGTGAAAATTCAGGCTAAATTACTCGCCCAATGTCACCCAGAAAATCTGAGACAGTGTAGCAGCAATTAAGGGATTACAGGACATCTACAGAGGGAAAAGAGCAAGGAATCCTCCATCCCCTAAATTCCTGCAACCAACAGTCACATTTTTGGGAGGCAGCCAGGAAAGAAAGGCAAGGAGGAGAGAAACAGCAAAGGTGGAGCTACTTGTTATGATATAGCTGCTATACATTGGCTGAAGATCTTTTACATTTTACCAATAAATAATGGTTAGCTATTCACTAGACTATCTGGTTGACTCTCACACTGTTTGATTAAAATATTTATCACATATCTGGGCCCGTCAGTTACATAGACTTGTATCCTTACTGGTTTTAAATGCAGTTAGTAAAATCCATGTCCTACCATTCAACTTTGTGTTGTTTCTTTACTAAGGTTATCAACATTTTGCTCATCTGGGGAAGAGAAGACCATCTACTTAGTGAGAGGGGATCAGATGTGTTCGGAACACTTGAACACAGTTAATTTGGCACAAAGCTCTTTAAATAACGAAATGTGAAGGAGTTACTAATGTGTACTTCCCCCCCATGGCACTTCCTGATTTCATCCTAGCTTCAGAATTTCTTGTGCTTACAGAAGGATCACTCATTACTACAGCATTTCAAATGTTGAACTGATAGAATTAGTTTTACTGGGCCATGGCATCCTCTCCTATAGTATACCGTCAGGAAGAATTTCCCCCGAAAAATCTGTTCATGATAATCCTTCAACTATTCACTCAGAGTAAGAGGGTTAGGATTGCCAGCCACAGGGCAAACTTATAAATCTGACAAGGCAGATCATTTAACCAGTTTTAGACTGGATATTCCTGTTTTTTTCAAGGTTTTTCCTGTCCAGCACAGATATAGAACTGGCCATGGTTTTTTCTGATGATTTGGTGTACAGAACAGAGGATGCTGTTTTGAAAGTTTCGCTGCTCCATCCCTGCTTCCATGATCTCACATACACCATGAACATGGCCAGCGGGTTCACACCACCACTATGCTTATATAGCATCTTATGTCTTCAGAGCACTTCACAGATATCAAGCTGATCACTTCTCTGAAGGGAGACATCTCCACATAGTGGAAACTGAGGCTCAAAGAGGATAGTGATTTTCTGAAAGCCTGACAGCAGATTAGTGGCAGAGTAGGGACTAGAACCCAGCTCCTACTTCCCTGCTTTAACTATGCCCTTTTCCTTATAACAGTACACTTACAGAATATAAATTCAAGGAAAAAAAACTCAAATAGATAGCAAACCTAGAGCAATAGAGTGGCAAACTCTTAGGCTACGTCTACACTGGCCCCTTTTCCGAAAGGGGCACGCTAATTTCACAGGTCATAATAGGGAAATCCACGGGGGATTTAAATATCCCCCGCGGCATTTAAATAAAAATGTCCGCCGCTTTTTTCCGGCTTTTAGAAAAGCCGGAAAAGAGCGTCTACACTGGCCCCGATCCTCCGGAAAAAAGCTACTTCAAAGTAGGAATAAGAGATCCTCCGGAAAAGGGCTTTTTTCCGGAGGATCTCTTATTCCTACTTTGAAGTAGCTTTTTTCCGGAGGATCGGGGCCAGTGTAGACGCTCTTTTCCGGCTTTTCTAAAAGCTGGAAAAAAGCGGCGGACATTTTTATTTAAATGCCGCGGGGGATATTTAAATCCCCCGCGGATTTCCCTATTACGACCTGTGAAATTAGCGTGCCCCTTTCGGAAAAGGGCCCAGTGTAGACGTAGCCTTACAGTTCAGGTCCAGGGTTTCAGCCAACAAGCACAGAGGAAGGGGTTATGTGCTCACATTTCTGAGTGTATGCAGGTGGGAAGGAAGAATTAAGTCATTTCTGCAGCTTACTTTTAAGACTTTTTTTTAAAAAAAGAATAACACTTTAAAATCCAGGTGAACAGTGAAATGAGCTACTTCTTAAAGACTCTCCAAATAGGGACAGTACATATTTAAGTGCAGTAAGCAGCCAAATCACATCAAACCTGCAGATTAGGGGCTAGTCAGGATTAATTTTCAGTGACAACGTACAAAAGAAATCATGGGCATTACTAAATACAACGGGAGGAATTTAACACTAATCCTAGCAAATATGCATAACAAATAACCTTCAGCATAAAAACTGAGGGAAAGCTTTGTCTCCTAGACAGCATTAGGTTACTAGGCACTAACAGTGGACAGATAATCTTGCAGCACATTTTAATCAGATGAACAGATGAGGCCTTAGATCTCATTGGTTGCGGTGGTTTTCAACAATTGCTACCCTGTAATATACAAGGATCATTTTTCAATCATATATAATACAGGAGAAGCGGAGAACATCAGATTTCATAAGGTGATATAAACGCTTGCAAAACAATTGGAACAACTTGTCTGGCTTACAGGCACCACATATTAATCTAATAATTGAATTGTCAATTCTCTGGTCTACTAGCCAGTAGCCCAACTCTGGGCAGTCACAGGTAGTGATGCTGTGTGCCCTTCACTTCGTCTTAGATTTGCCATCCAACCTCAGCTTCTCACAGAATACCAGTCATTTGTTAGGGAAGAGTGTCATCTAGATAAATCAGAATAGTCTTCTCTTCTCCCTCCTCCATTCGTTCACTTGTCTAATGCTATGCTCTCAGTGTAACACATTTCACTTGTGCGGTGTCTCTTTTAAAGGGAAAAATAGTTTCTGCAAAGGAACATGGATCACAGTATCAGCCAATTGGCAATTTTCATCTAGTCCAATCTTCAGAGCCAGAGGTCTCAACAGAAAGGACTGGAGGATGACAATTCCATTCCACTGCAACTTTTGAGGTTTCGCATGTTTTGTTCTCATTCACCAGTGGAATGAAATCAATCCCTTTTGAATGTTTTTGCAAAAATGGAATTGTGTTGGGGTATGCATCTGTCTTC